AGGGGAAGTCCCACATGGTCTCCTGGTTTTCTTGTTTAAACTGCAACTTGTTGGGGCCACTGTGACTGCTCTGTTGGCTAACCCTCCTCCTCCAAGGCTGACATCCTATATTGACAAACGTTCATATCCTGGCTGCTCTGCTTGGCTTCAATGGCCAGAGCTGAACTGATCCAAAGCTAGGAGTCAGGTGCTTCTCCTTGTCTCCCATGAGAATGCAGGATCACAAGGTTTAGGGCCATCTTCTACTGCTTTTCCAGGCTACACACAGGGAACTGGATGGGAAGTGGAGCTGCTAGGACATGCATTGGTGCCCATACGTGATCCTGGTGCATGAAAGGTGAGGATTTATCCACTGAGCCATCACTCCAGATCCAGTTGGCATCTTTCAAGAACTTTTATGAGTGTGTGGAAGTACACATACTTTCAAACCATCTATACATGTATTTTCTATTTTTCTAATTGACATACATATGAGAAAGTTAAATTTGCAGATTAGATATAGGAAGGTAGATTGAAAATAATTACTCATCAGAAAAAGGAACAAATATTGAAAATGCATTATATTAAAAATATTGTCATGTTGGGCCCGGCGTGGTGGCGCAGTGGTTAAGGTCCTCGCCTTGCACACGCAGGATCCCATATGGGCTCTAGTTCTTTTTTTTTTTTTTTTTTATTGTTGCTTACATTGTATTATGTAGTACAGTTTTATAGGCGCTGGGGATTCCCCCCACCCCCTCCCATACCCCTCCCCCCATGGTGGATTCCTCCACCTTGTTGCATAACCATAGTTCAAGTTCAGTTGAGATTCACTGCTTGCAAACACATGCCTAGCATAAAGTTCAGCGTCTTATTGTCCAGATAAGTTCAGTGGCCTCTTGGGGAGACCTTCTATGGTCTGAAGATAGGTCTAACAGAGTAAAGATCCAGTCAGTTAAAAGGCCCAACAAGGCCTCAGTATCAATATACAACATTATGGAATTAATTGACATAGTATTGGGTAAACAATATGTTAAAAATAATGCAAGTTCCATTCTTCGAAACATCTGGGTTGAGACAGTATCAATGACAGGTTCAAAAAATAACAAACCACCAAACAAAAAATTACAGGTTAAATCAAGGCAAACATGTGGTATCTAATCTTTTGGGATTTGCTCATTTCCCTTAGCATTATAGTTTCCAGTTGGGCCCATTTAGCCACAAAGAACTGCATTTTGTTTTTTTTAATAGCTGAGTAGTATTCCATGGAGTAGATGAACCAAAGCTTTCTTATCCAATCTTCTGCTGATGGGCATTTCGGTTGCTTCCATGTTTTTGCAATTACTGATTGTGCTGCAATGAACATAGGGATGCATGTTGGTTTGTCGTAAAACAGGTGTTTTGGATATAATCCTAGGAGTGCTATTGCTGGGTCATATGATATGCAGATTTTGAGTTGTTTGAGTGTTCTCCAGACTGATTTCCATAAAGGCTGTACCAATTTGCAGCTCCACCAGCAGTGGAGTAGGGTTCCCTTTTCCCCACATCCTCGCCAGCAAGCGTCGTTGGTGTTCTTGTTTATGTGGGCCAATCTTACTGGTGTTAGGTGGTACCTCATCGATGTTTTAATTTGGATTTCCCTTATTGCTAGGGAGCTGGAACATTTTTTCATATGTTTGTTTGCCAAAAAGACCTAAACCTACATCCAGAAACCTTCAAACTCTTGCAAGAAAATGTAGGAAATACCCTGCAAGACCTAGGAGTAGGTTCCGACTTTCTAAGAAGGACACCAAAAGCAATAGCAGTTGAGAACAGAATAAACAAATGGGACCTCATCAAACTAAGAAGCTTCTGTACAGCAAGGGAAACAATCAACAAAGTAAAAAAGCAACCCACAGAGTGGGAGAAGATCTTTGCACACGATATAGGCGACAGGGGGCTAATTTCCAGGATATACAAAGAACTTCAAAACAACCAAAAAACCAAAACAAACAAGCCACTTAAGAAATGGGCACGGGAAATGGGCAAACATTTCACAAAGGAACAAGTCCAAATGGGCTCTAGTTCTAATCCCGGCAGCCCCTCTTCCCTTCCAGCTCCCTGCCTGTGGCCCGGGAAAGCAGTCGAGGACGGCCCAAAGCTTTGGGACCCTGCACCCGCGCGGGAGACCAGGAAGAGTCTCCTGGCTTCGGAATGGCATAGCATCGGCCGTTGCACTCAGTTGGGGAGTGAATCATCGGACGGAAGATCTTCCTCTAGTCTCTCCTCTCTGTATATCTGCCTTTCCAATAGAAATAAAATAAATCTTTAAAAATATATATATATTGTCATGTCTTTCTCCAAATATGATATCTTACTATGTCTTCGTGTGAGACAGTGAAATGATGCAATACTTGATGACATGAAATGAGGTGAATGAGGCAGGGGATGTGACACATGCTAGGCTTCAACAGGAGTTCTTTGAACAGACTACTAAGATATTGTGAAAAGTTTTGTTATATAACGTGATTATCACATGCCTATCATGTGGCAGCATGTGGGACATGTCTATGCTGGACAAGGGGAGGATTTGGATTCAGGGAAAAACTTGGAAATGCCAAAAATTTTTCTATTTGTATAAAATGTATAAGGCACAGGGTGCCCTTTATTTTCACTAGGCACTGGCTCTCACCATACCTTGAAATGCAGCTCCAGCCCATTGGGGTGTTCAGATCAAAGCAGGCTGGGTCAGGTGTCCTGTCCTAGGGATATGAGGGTCCCTAAAACACAGGTTGTCTTAACATACTCCAGAGGGTCTGGAGGTAATAAACAAACCATGGATACAGGAGCTGGAGGTAATAAACAAACTATTTGACCTCTGGGCATAAAAATGCCAGAGCAAGTCAGTGGCATTAGGTTTGGGGTACACACCTATTCCTTTTTTTTTTCAGGTTTACAACATGAGAAGCAAAAGAGCAAACATAACAAGAAATGGCTAAAGTGCTGCTACCTTTATTATCTTTACCTAATGTGGCATTAAACATAGGGCTGTGAAATGAAATGAAACCATGCTTGGTAAAAATTAGAAAAGAATAAGAGATAAGGAAGTGAGAATGTGGGCAAGAGGAGGAATGTGGGCAGGAGGGAGGTTGGGATGGGAAGTATCAGTAAGACCCTAAATCTGTATTAACATATATGTGGACATTGCTCACTTTGTATAAACACATGAATTAAAAAGAAAATCGAGTGAATTGGGTAGTTCAAGGCCCACAATCTTGTTTTCTGAATGTGAAGTGTCTAAGCTAATGAATGTTGACTCCGGTGGGGAGCCAGGCTATTATTTTGTGTGTTTTGGGGTGCTGGCCCAGCCCACAGCGAAAGGCACTCTCACTTAAAGCTGTTCCTTTTAAGGTGAACAGCTGTAGTGAGCTGTAGAGCTTCCTGGCGCTTTTATTCCCAGGAGGTATTAATTCAAGTAATTTGACTGGCTCTACTGAGATGATGCAAAGAGGTCTAATTCTAAAAATTCTATACATATGACCTCCCATTTTGCTATCAATTTTTCATAGAGGTGTGATGATTGACAGAGCATTAACCACAAAAACAAAACCACATGTGCCATTTGTCATGAGAAAGGTTCTCATTTCCTTGAAGTAAGGCTTCTAGATGGTTTTCAGTGATGACGTTCTGGAACCTGCACGCCATAAATCATTACTTTATAAAGGAGAAGCAACCTCCCCAAAGTCTGGACTTTGCATGCCATGTTGAAAAATGTGTGGAAAGCAGGAGCTTACAAACATGGACCACAGGACCTTGGGAAACAGGGGCAATCAAATGCAGGCAAAGGAAGCAGAGTGGAGGGGGAGTCAAAATAAAACGAAAAACAAAATCAGGAACTGAGAGATGATCTATCCCAGCTAGTGTATATAACAAATCACGGGCAAATTTAAGATTCTATCCTTCTGAGTATGACAAAACAAAGTAACACCTGTAAGCTCTACTGTAAGAAGAAACTGTAAACCCTACTGAGACCTGGTAAATACTGTCATCACTGTCATTTTTTCTTCAAGCTCCAACCAGTAGTTGAGCTTGTAGAGACGTTAGGTGGAATACTGGATCAGTGAGCACTTTGCAACCATGACATACTGAGTAAGCAATGAACTTGGACAAATCAAGGGGTTGGATCCTCACAAGGTGACAGCCTTGGAATAGCAAAGGTCCATTGGTCTTGGTCACAGGAAGCTGTCTGCAGCCAATCCTTTTTTCTTTATCTATATGTTCCTCATATATTAACAGGAGAGTCTTATTATTTAGGTTTTATTATTGTTTTCTATGATACAGTTTTTGTAGATATAGGGACTCCCTCCTTTTACCTTCCTTTTCTCCCTCCTCATTCTCTTCCCCCACCACTTCTCCCCATATTATTACAATCATATAGTCCTTCAGCTACTGACACAATACCGGCATTCTGCTGTTGAAGTGTATCATGGTATTGTAGGTAGAGGCAATGGAAGAAAATATAGATCAAATTGTCAAGGTATATTTAACAATTGCATTGTGAGTTCTTCTTTTATTTGGGAGTAAAGATGTATATTGCAGCACTTCTTCATATACTGGTTCTTCAGTCTCCATTATTGAGTTCATCTATGAGAATGTATGTATATATTTGTATAACTCCACAGCTATTTGTTTTATGCTCTGCATGAATGTTGCCTTAACTCAGAGAGAATATGTGGCATCAGTCCTTTTGAAACTGACTTATGAGACTGGCTTATTTCTCCTTTTGAAACAGGTACTCTAATACCCTGCCAAGCTCTCTTCGGAGTTCTAATAGTCTCTTGATTGACTCTTTTTGAAGGCAGTTGAGAATGTAAACAGAGGACTTGACAGGCCACATGTGCCCAGGGAGTTATAGCCACTAGGTCAGGGTTAGTCAGAACAGCACAGCTGAAGCTGGACAACAGCCAGAAATGAAGGGTCTGCATGCATCAGGCTTGGAGTGCAGGTACCCCAGTTCAGTTCTGCTTCCTTCACTCACATGATCTTCAGCCTTAACTAGGTTAGAAATCCAACTGTAGATGGTAATGGTAAATTTCTTTTACTCCAGATGTTGTTCACCTCCACCCTGGGGACACAAGACCAAGATTAAGCAGAGATGTTGAAGAAAAAAACGGGCCCAGAGGAACCAGCACACAGACAGTACCTACTGACTGGCAACATTGGTGAATCCCCTCCCCCAACAATCTGGTACCATAACTGAGCAATTTTAGATTTCTTATTTTAAAATATTAAAATTGTAAAAAAAAAATGAAATAATAGTGGAGACAAATAACATGACCAGGATTTGAGAAGCACAAGAGTAATTTGCATGTCAGTTACAAAGACATGCATGTGCCTAGGCCCAGCTAGCTATCACTGACGACTCTCAAGTAGCCCTTGTCTTCCTGAATCTCATTCTTCATTGGCTGTACATAGTCAATGCCACCATCATTAACCCTGTGGTCCACCTGCAAGCCAGCACCTGTCATGCACAGACTGAAGGCTGATTCTATGCCTGGGAGCTCTACTCTTTCCCATGTCATGGACTCCAAGTTCATGGCCACAGCCACCATGTCCTCCATAGGTGACATTACCTGGCAGCTAACATAGGTGCAGGTAACTGGGGGGTTGGGGGGAGAGGAGGAGGAAGGTAACTAACTTGGGGGAAAGGGTAAGGGCAACCTACCTGTTCCTGTTTCCTTCTTCTTCCCCCACCGAGTCTTCCAAAAGTACAGTCCAGCAAACAGGATCAGCAGTGCAACCAGAAGAGCACCCCGAATTACTTGCCAAAGGATGAAATGGTTCTGTCCATGAGACTTTAGTTCTGTGACATAGAACTATCTTTTAGATAGAAAGTTCAAACACTTAACTAGTCTGTTGAAGGCCACCTAGTGCAAAGCCCCCTTTTCTCTAAGTTCCTTGAGGACAGGGACTTGTCTTCCTTTTCACTGTGCTCCCCCACAACACATAACAGGCACTTAGAGAAGTCTGCAAGTGAAACACTCCTGGGAGGAAGGAGTAAGGACATGGCCAGGGACAGACTGCACAGACAAGAGCTCAGGCAGACACTAGCAGGACAAAGAAGCTGGACTGGTAGACCTTTTTTGCTTTGCTTCTTGCTAGGAAAGCATCTGCTACAACAAGAGGCTGAGAGCTCAGGTTCTTTGTAAGTGAGCACACCCCCAACCCACCACAGAGAGTCCCTCCATGGGACCAAGGTGACCTTAGACTAACTGGGGGAAATGTGGTCATGAGTAGGTGACTGTGGTGAACAGAGGGACATTATAGCTCACACTGACCAGAGGAAGCCGAGTGTGGTTTAGACACTCAAGGGAGATGATCATCCTGAGGTCAGACCTGCAGTAGAAGCGGCAGGCACCTATCCACCTGCATGGGCATACATGGGCCAGGCATGCATGGGCCAAGCCATGCACAGGGGTAGGAGAACCTGAACTGGGCAGTGAGCACCCTAAGACCAGGGTTAGGGGGTCCTAGAGGCTCATCCATCCTTGCTCCTGCATGCCTTCTCTTCCTCTGCTTGGGTTCTAATGACTCATCCAGCCTCCAGAACTCTTTGATGCTCGAGGTAGGGCTTCCCATGTGCTTTATATATCTGGGTGATGACATAGATTCCAAACAGGCACAGCTTCTATGCAAGTATATTTAAGGACTATAATAAGACTGCAGTCATTCACTGGAACAGAACCTCTTAGTCCCACCATGGGTACAGCCTTGGAATTTCTTGAATCTTCCCAGCCTTGCCTATCTCCTCACCTAACTGCATTCTCTGCCAATCATTTTAATCACCCTTGCTCATACACCACACTCACCCTTCTGTGGACAGATGCCCCTCAGGTCTAAGGTGGCATTCTTCTGGTCTACAGGATTGCTGACCACACAGGAGAGATAGCCATTCCACCGGTCTATGGGCAGGCTCAGGCTCAGATTCTTGGAGTGAGGGGTTGGCCCCAGTGTCCCATTCTGCCCCAGATCATTGCTCATCCAAGACACAGTGAGGTCTTCAGTGTACCCCCCGGTGTCACACTCAAAAGTAACATTGCACCAGCCTGATGTGCTTGATGAAGAATAAGTCTGAATCTGGGGGAATGGAACAGGCTCTAGGGTAAGAAAGGATGAAAAAAAAACTAAGCTTTAGGACTGGAATAAAGGATGAATAAAAAACAGGTAAAAATAAGGAAATAAAGTATAGCACTAATCAGAGAAATCAATTAAGCTTACATTCATGTCTATAATATTATTCATTACATGATAAATACAATGAAACTTATGCATAGCTTCCAAGTGCTTTTTACTAAAACAAATCTGTTCTTTGTTTCCATTTCCACACATTTATAAGCATCTTTTCATATGAATGTTTACATATACATATTTATAAAACTGTGTATACATATATATGATTATAACATGTGATAGAATGACATTATGATGAAAAATACATGTTAAACCCTTGTTAGGCCCAGAAGAAGAAATGAGTTTCTTGAGATGTTGCAGCAAAAAATTTGTTTAGTAATTAAAAGGATGAAAGTAAAGGGTTGTATAACTTTCAAGATCCTAGAGCAGTTTGAAGCAATGAAAAGGAGAATATTAGATGCAGAAATGTTAAATAAGTTGTTGGTAGTGGATCCATGTATATAAAACAGAATTGAAAGACATCTGAATGTATTGCATGCCTCTATTAAAGACCAAGACTCTCAGCTTAGATAAATCCAATGCTACTCATATTACCTAGTAATACACATTTGAGGTTACAATAAAGATACAAAAAAAGTCTTAAAAGAGTCAAGAAAATTATTACAGATGTAGAAATTGTTATTCCAGACCAAAAAAAAGATTAAAATGAAAAGAGAATTCTATAAACTTAACAACATGTACCATTAATACAATTTAGAAATGAGTAGATTGATACAAAATAAAGTGAAACAACACAAACACACACACACAATGACGAAAGTGCAAGGATAAGTTACCAAATCCACTGTTAAACAGGAAAGATGTACACAAATCAGAGTGAAGGCCCTATAACAGCTGGAAGCAGACCAGAATGGCCAGGAGGAAAACCCAGGAGGGAGCTCACTGCAGACTCACTCCCACTGCCAGCTCTGCTATTGCCTTCATCTATCATGGCATCAATAAGCTGGTTCTGTCTCTGGGTGTTTGTTTTGGTTGCAGTTCTGACCAACAAAGCAAGAGAGAAGAAGTTAGATGGGATGAAAGGTCTTCAGTGGTGGAAAGAAAAAAACCTCAATACAAGACAGACTTGTCCTCTTGCCCTCCTGTTTGGCCGTGTTGGTGGATGCTTTCTGGAGAAGCAGCCATTTTATAGCAGTGAGGAAACAAGCATGACCATAACTTTTGCAAGGATACCAGAACAGAAGGAATGAGTCAGTGATGAAGCTGAGCAGCTGGGCCATCACTCTCCTCTGACCTTTTATACATGAGGAAAACAAACTCCTCTTCACGTAAACCTTTGAAAATCAAGTTATATGTTCATATAGTCAGGCATTTTCCTTATTTATACACATGGAGAACAACAAAAGAGTAACTATTCAATCAACAAAATCAAAAGTTGATTTTCTTAAAGCACTAATTAAAAAAAAATACTGCTAGATACAACTGGAAATATTAAAGTCATCAGTAAATGATATTAGGAATGAGAAGTGAGGTGTAGCTAAAATCTAGAAAAGATATTGAAACAATTAAAGGAAATACCATATCCAATGCCTACGACAAATTTGAAAATGTAAATGAAACAGTATAAATTCAGTTAAGTTGAGGCAGCAAACATGAGCAAACCTATAGACATGGAAGACATTAGAAAGTTTTTAAGACTGAGTACATCGCGCCTCAACCTTTTGGCTAAGATTAAGTGAAGACTGAGTGCCACCAAAGGGCCAAGGGATGTAAACTTTGTGTTTCATACACTGCTCCAGAGTTTAGAAAAAAAGTAAATTACTCCTCAGGTCAATCTTAAAGTATAATTTAAGTTGAATATTCACATCAGATAATGAGAATGCCAAAAACAAAACAGAACAAGTCAAACACACTTATAAATCCACTGGAGCAGTATAAGAGGCTTTGCGGATGCCAAGGAAAGCAGAGGGCAGATTTTGTTCTCAAGGAAAGAGCATCTCACATGGCTGGCTCCAGTGTACAGCAGACAACATTAAGATCCAGAAAAGAACATGTTAAAAGAACCTCGACATTTCAAAGCACAAAGGCTCATTCTAGGGGCACAAAGCTCAGGGTTATTTTAGAAAATTCAGTTCTGAAAGCGAAGAGGCAAGGGAGTGACACCATGAGGTTCAGATCTGTGGAAATGAGGAGGAAGTTGGCAGCAAGTGGCAGAGGGCCTCCAGTGCCAAGTGCAGCCATTAGTTCCATTTGCAATGTGAAGTAAGTAAGTGCAGTTGGAAGATCTCTTTGGGGCACTGGTGCATTATCAGGGAACAAAAGAGAATGTAGGGAAACCAGCTAGTAGGACTTCTGGGATTTTTTCTGGCAATTTCTTTTCTGCTACAACCTTGTGTTTTTTTGTATTTGATTATCAATCATAGCACTCTGGGCTTGGTTACAGGTGAGTGTAGAAGTTTGGCTCTTGCCAGTGCGAATTGGCTATTGCCTTGACAACTGACCAACAGGAGTCATCATGGAATCTAAGCCTAAGGGTATTAGAATTTCTTCTGTATGGAGAGGGTCCACAAAGCCTCTTCATTCTCTGGTTGGATGGGATGCATAGCTGCCAGTGGACTGCATGGAGAAGACCAGGGGAGCAAAGCTGATCAAAGGGTGGAAAGGAGACAGAGTTAGAGAGCAACTGGTCCCACCAGAGAGAGGAGAGAATACTCATTACCTTCCTCATCCCCACGAGCTAGAGAGTCAGAGGAGATGCTTGCTGATCTTAGTGCCTATGAGCTCTGTGTCATCTTGATAATATAAACTGTCTCTGTTATCTTATTTGAGCAGATTTCCATTTCTTGCTGCCAATGAAACAGGATAAAACTGTATTCCTCTGAAAGCTAAGCTTAAAATTTAACAACCAAAAGAACAAGAGAAACAGATTCAAGAATGAGAAGTCTGAGGCCAGGGAAGTAGGTGGCATTTTTCACATTCTTTACTCACCAAATACCTCAACTCAGACACTCAATCCAGTCACTCCAGGCTCTTGTTACAGGTGTTCCTACCTCCCATATTGGAATCCCTCAACCCTCCCCAACTTCCACTACGTGAGGAATTGTGGGTTATGCAGGGGAGATGTAGGAGATGGATATTCCCAAGAAATCCACCAGTCATCCTCATCCACTGAGTCACCCTCTGCACCTTCATCTTAGATCTAAGAGATAGTTTTGCCCTTAGAACTCTACAACAGGACTGCAGATCAATTCATCTAAACCCGTTTCACCTAATAACCAGTTCCAACAGTCAAACTCCTCAGTGTTTTTCCGTCATCTTTTCAATGTCCAATATTGAGGTTCTCTTTTTGCCCACATTTCTCTAATAAGAATTCTTACGTCAGTTTTTGAAACAACGAAATAATAGTATTTGTTCTTTTCTGTTTCTTAATTAACATAACATTTTATGAATGAAAATTCTTTTATCCCTTTGGGTGGCTTTGCTTCTCCCTTTTCTTGGATTCTTAATTATGCAATTTAAGAAACTTTAGCTAACTTTTGCTAAAAGGATCTTTAAAATTTAGTTTTTATTTTTAAAGCATCAAAAGAGAGATGAAAAAACTACTTTGGGCTTATTTATTTAATGTTAGGTTAATTTTATTAATAACTGTAAATGTGTCTTTTTATCATTTGTAATCTCCTTTTTCAATATCACAGTTGAAAAGTGGCCTTTCCATGCTTATATACATTTATTTAGATAAACTCCATGACATTAAAGGAAATCAGTTTAGATTAATTTATTTTAGAAAGGTGGTTGTTGGGATGCTGGGTTGGGTGAAGACCCACATCTTACCATATACACAGAGTCGAAAGGTCTTCTCTTGAGATTGTCCTGACTTGAATTTGACTTCTGCTGTGTACAGCCCATTCATTTCCACAGTGAGATTCTTGATGATCAGGAAACCCAGCTTTGTCAGGTTGAATCTCTTCTTGATGTTTTTAATGTCATACCAATCAGGATCAGGGGCATCAGGCTTCCAGGACACAAGAACCTGCCTTCTCTGAGATGGGCGATCCCAAAACCACTCAATCTCGCGAATATTAGGGTCTGTTGAGGAGTTCAGTGTCAGCTGCACAGATTCCCCCACAGTTCTGTTCAACATACAAGAAGAGCTGAGATCTTTGACAGCCTGGAAACCTGGTGAGGAAGAATTAAAGATAAAGGAAGAAAGGACTGGAGGAAACAAGATGTTGCATTTACTCTATGCTTCCACATCACATTAATTTGATATTTAGCAAAAGGAGAATGACCGTCACATTCCTAGACAAGGAAACAAGCTGCACAGGTAACTTAGTAAGCATTGTTCTGGCCTAGACCCAACAGCTTTGATTAAAACTTATGTCTGTCACCCTCTTAGACTCCTGCTTTTCCCTTCATTTTGTACTTGTGTCCAACACAATCCTTGTTTGAGTCCAGGCAGAAAAACTGAAAGTGTAAAAGGTGATGAATAGGAGCCAGCATTGAGGTGCAGCTGGTAAAACAGCCACCTGCAATGCCAACGCACATATGGGCACTGGTTCAAGTCCCAGCTACTTCATTTCTGACCTAGATCCTTAGTAATACACCTGGGAAAGCATTGGATAATGGCCCAGGTGCTTGTGCCTGAGAAACCCAGGTGAAGCTCTTGGCTCCCAACTTCAGCCTAGTCACAGCTGTTACAGCGAGTTGAAGAGTGAATGAAGCAGTGAAGATTCTCTCAGGATTCAAACTGGCACCAATGTGTGAGATGTTGGTATTTTAAGTGGCAGCTTTGCATAATATGCCACAATACCAGCCCTTTCAGCCTAATTTAATTCAAGGAATACTTAATGAGAAGGTACTCCTGTAGGTGCCATGCTATAAAGAGGACCAGGCAGAGCAGGTCTCTTCCCTCTTGGAGTTCCCTGCTCAGTGAGAGTGCTGAAAAGGATGAATAAGCATATGTATTATGCTTCTAATTCACCTTGACCTATTTAAGAAGGATGAGGTATAAACTGCACACCTGTCCCCTGGCCCTAGGGTTTCCTTTATTAAAGAGGAAACTCTTCTACCTTATGAATAAATTCCCTACCTTATGACTCAGAGCCTAGGTTCCATTACAGAAACCAAAATTCCAGATAGATAGTTTTCTCAGCTTCCTTTATATTTGGGCAGCACTTGACCTAGACTCCCCCAATCACATGTCCTTACCCCACACTTTCAAATATAAGCCAGTTATATGAAAAGAAAAGAAATATATGGTCTAAGCCAATGACAAGGGTATAAAGGCAATAGCCATATCCAGATAGTTTTAATGCAGGATGAGCATCCAATGTTAGTGGAATTGGGGTGTGAGCAGCAGTGTCTATACCAGGAATCATGCTCCAGCTTTTACTACACAACCTCAGCTGGGCTGGACTTAGAGTGTGTTTCCTAGAGGAGTATGGTCACCTTGAGTTCTCTAAGGTTTATGGTGCCTGATAATTCTAATATATACATTCAGCTAGTCATTTGATTTCTCTTATGTGTGACTAAGAACCATGATAGACTCTTGGAACAAGTTAATAGAACAGTGGTGGTTTGTGTGGGTGGCAATGTGATTCTTCCAGAAAAGTTCCAATGAGGGTGTCAATTAAACTGTACCTTGAATGATGTCAAGAGGTATTCCAGGAAGAGAAAAGAGCATGTGCAAACATTTTGATGAAGAAATGAGCTTTACTTACATGTTGGACAAAAGGAATAGCCATGAGTGGAGAAACTAGGAGACTGAGAAGCAGGGAAAGCTTGGTGGAAATGTGGAATTTGATCAGATTTGGAGAACTGCAGAAGACTTGAGGGTCTGTAGCAGAGCAATTTAATGTGGTTAACACTGCTTTAAAGATTTGCTGTAATTATATGTGAGAGACAGGGAGAGACCTTCCATGCAATGATCCAATGGGTCATTAACCAAAGTGTCTGGGGCTGGGCAAGGCTGAAGCCAGGATCCTGGAACTCCTTTTTTTTTAAAGATTTATTTTTTATTATTATTTTTTTTATTGTTGTTAACATTGTATTATGTGATACAGTTTTATAGGCACTGGGGATTCCCCCCACCCCTCCCATACCCCTCCCCCCATGGTGGATTCCTCCACCTTGCTGCATAACCACAGTTCAAGTTCAGTTTTGGAAAGATGGATATACAGAGAGGAGAGACAGAGAGGAAAATCTTCCGTCCGATGATTCACTCCCCAAGTGAGCACAACGGCCGATGCTATGCTGATCCGAAGCCAGGAGCCTCTTCCAGGTCTCCTGGGTCTCCCACGGGGGTGCAGGGTCCCAAAGCTTTGGGCTGTCCTTGACTGCTTTCCCAGGCCACAGGCAGGGAGCTGGAAGGGAAGCGGGGCTGCCGGGATTAGAACCGGCGCCCATATGGGATCCCGGGCGTGCAAGGCGAGGACCTTAACCACTGCGCCACCGCGCCAGGCCCCTGAAATTCCTTTTTGATCTCCCATTATCAGTGTAAGGGACCAAGTTCAGGGGATTAAGTACCTTCTGCTACTTTTCAACGTGCATTAATAGGGTGCTAAATTTATTCCTAGACAATTTCCTTGTGCAATTATAAATGAAATACTGCTTTTTAAGATTGTTTATTGCTGATGTGTTGAAACACAACAATTTTTTTATGTTTTTTTATGTTTATATTTTTTATCCTATAATTTCAGTATTCATTTTTATTAGCTTTAATAGGTTTTTGCTAACTATAGGATTTGATGTTATACATACAGAGTCATGTCATCTGCAAATAAGAATTGTATGCTTTTCTTCTGTTTCATTTTCGTTTTCTTTCTTGTCTAATTACTCTGGTTAGGACTTAGCAAGTAGAAGTAAGGAAAGTGGGCAATGCATTTAGTTTTTTATCATTGATTATGATGTTCACTGTGGGTTTTTTCTCATAAATATCCTTCATAATATTAAGAAAGCTATCCTGCATTTCTAGTTTTAATACTGAAAGTGTGTTGAAATTTCTCAACTATTTTTTCTGCCTCTAAAAAATTAGAACATTCAAACTGCCAAAATTGAATCAAGAAGCAATTAGCAATCTAAATAGACCAATAACATGCAATGAGATTGAGTTAGTAATTAAAGCCCTCCCAACCAAGGAAAAGTCCTGGACCACATGGCTTCACTGCTGAATTCTACCAAACGTTTCAAGAGGAACTTACCCCAATTATACACAAGCTTTTCCAAACAACAGAAAGAGAGGCAATCCTTCCAAACTCTTTATATGAAGCTAATATCACCTTAATACCAAAGCCAGATAAACAACAGAAAAAGAGAACTACAGACCGATATTCTTGATGAACATCAATGCAAAGATCCTCAATATAATACTAGCCAAAAGGACCGAACAACACATCATGCAGATCAATCACCCAGACCAGGTGGGATTCATCCCAGGCATAAAGGGATGGTTCAACATTCACAAAATAATAAATGTGATACATCACATCAACAAATTGAAAAATAAAAACCATATTATCCTCTCAATACATGCAGAGAAAGCATTTGATAAAATCCAACACCACTTCATGCTAAAAACCCTAAACAAAATAGACTAAGAAGGAATATTCTACAACACAAAGCAATTTACAAAAAAAACCAATGCCAGCATTATACTAAATGGGGAAAGATTGGAAGCCTTCCCACTAAAATCTGGAACTAGACAGGGATGTCCACTGTTAACACTACTCTTCAATATAGTGTTGGAAGTCCTTGCCAGAGCTATTAGTCAAGAAAAAGCAATTAAAGAAATCCAAATAGGAAATGAGGAACTGAAATTATCACTGTTTGCAGATGACATGATTCTCTACATAGGAGAACCGAAAACCTCAGTGAAGACACTACTGGAATTCATAAGAGACTTTGGCAGAGCAGCAGGATACAAAATTAATGAACACAAGTTGATGGCACTAGTGTACACAAATAATTCCATGGCTGAGAAAGAAATTTTAAGTACAGTCCCTCTTAAAATAGCAGAAAGGAATCTTAAATACCTAGGAATTAAGCTAACTAAATATGTGAAAGACTTCTATGGTGAAAACTATAAATCATTTTAAAAGGAAATAGAAGAAAATCTTGAAAAATGGAGAACCTTACCATGTTCCTGGATTGGCAGGATCAACATTATCAAAATGATCACATTACCAAAAGCAATATACAGATTCAACCAAATCCCAATCAAAATCCCAACAACATTCTTCTCAGAAATAGAAAAGGTGACACAAAACTTCATCTGGAAACCCAAGAGACCATGAATAGCTAAAGCTACCCTGAAGAATAAAAACCAAGTTGAAAGAATCACAACTCCAGACCTCAAGACATACTACAGAACAGTGGTTATCAAAAACTGTCTGGTACTGATACAGAAACAGAGGAGATCAATGGAACAGGATAGAAGAAACACCAGAAGCGAGCCAACACATGATAGTCAATTCACCTTTGACAAGAAAACTGAAAATAATACAGGAAAAAGTCCTGGTCTATTCAATAAATGCTATTGGGACAACTGGATAACAGCATGCAGAATTAAGAAGCAAGACCCATACCTGTCACATTATATGAAAATTAGCTCTAAATGGATTAAGGACCTAAATCTACACCCAAAAACATCAAGCTATTAAAGAAAAACATAAGAAGCACACACCAAAATATAGGAACAGGGACAGACTTCTTAGAAAAGACTCCAAAAGAAAAGGCAATCAAATCCAAAAAGGACAAATGGGACTACATCAAACTAAAAAGCTTCTGTACAGCAAATAAAACAATGAACAAAGTGAAGAAGCAACCAACAGAATGGGAAAAAAAATTTGCACACTACAAAAGTGATAGGAGACTAATATCCAGGATTTACAAAAAGCTTCAGAAACCCAGGGAAGGGGGGGGGGGAACCCTGTAACAAAATGGACAAAGGAAATGAACAGACATTTTTCAAAAGAACAGATCCAAATGGCTGACAGACATATGAAAAGATGCTCAGGCTCCCTAGCCATCAAAGAGATACAAATGAAAACCACATTGAGGTACCACCTAACTCCAGTGAGACTGGCCTACATTCAGAACTCAACTAACAACACCTGCTGGTGTGGATGTGGGCAGAAAGGCACCCTGCTTCACTGCTGGTTGGAGTGTAGGCTAGTACA